GGAGTTTGCATGCTCTCCCCATGTTTCCTCCGGTTGCTCAGTTTCCTCCCACAGTCCAAAGATGTGCAGGTTACATGGATTTTGGCAATGCTAAATTGCCCATACTGCACAGGGATGTGTAGGTGAGATGGATTAGTCACGGGAAATGCCAGCTTACAGCAAATAAGGTTAGGCAGGCATGGGTCTCGATGGAATGCTCTTCAGAGGGTCGGTGTGGACTCAATGGGCCAAATGGCCTGCTTCCATGCTGTAGAGGTGCTATGATAACCAAGGCTGCCATTTGAAGCACAATAAGTTACCACGAAAGGGGAGGAACAGATTTTTTTTTGCATGTGCGCTCTGTTGACTGATGGAAGAATGCAGAGTCAGGACGCTAGCATAAGTCCATGAATGTTTGGATATGGGATCTCAGGCTTGTTAAAACCTGTGAGTGCCACCACAATATCTCCAGCAATCAGGACTCCCTCAGAACTGCAAACTGCTGGTCAAAATTGATTATAAATGCAAGAAAGGCTTGATCCCAGATTGTTTCAAATCAGAAATTGACAGCTGTATCAATTAAACACACTGCAAAATATAGATATTTTGGATTTTATTACGAGTAAAATATGTTAAATGTTGAGTATTGGAACTAATCTCCAGAGTAAACTTATTACAAATTGCTCAACGGGTCATCTTCATCTTTTTTGAGAAGCTCAGCTTCTGATAATGATTTTGATGGAACTCGAATGGATTGGAAAATCTATTGCAGCAGGCCCCCAAGAAAGAAAAACATAAACCTATAATGTGCTTCTTTTCGATATTGATCCTGAACCAGTTTGGTAACATATATAAAGCCACCAACTGTGAAAATGGATCAATTCCAAACACAAAAAATATTACCATAAATCTTTGACGGGGTCCATGTCAGGAAGCACAGGATTAATGAAGATAATCTGAAATAAATCCAGAAAGTGTGGGAGCATTTCTTCAGAGATTCCTGTTTTTACTTCATGAATAAAGACATTTTGTGGTTCTGGTATTCCCCAGACATTAAAAGCGATCAGTGCGTGCTCAGGTGTGACTACTGACCAGGACTGTGGTCAGGTGTTTGTAGCAAAGAGAACGATAACCAGTGACCAGTTTTAAACAGCTAGTGAGAGTGCGTGCATGAGATATCAAGAGAGCGAGCATGAGATGTCGAGAGTGCAAGAGAGAGAGAGAGTGAACACGAGAGAAAGAAAGTGAGCACGAGAGAGAGACAGTAAGCGCAAAAGAGAGAGTTAGTGCGAGAGAGAGAGCGAGAGAGTGAGCGTGAGACAGCGACAGCGAGACGGAGTGAGCAAAAGTGAGACAGGCAGTGAGAGAGCGAGCGTAAGAGATACAGCGTGAGAGAGACAGAGAGAGAGTGAGCGTGAGAGAGAGTGAGCATGAGAGAGAGGGTCAGCAAGACAGAGTGAGCAAAAAACAGAGAGAGGCAGCAAGAGAGCGAGCGCACGGGGACGAGTGCGAGGGAGACTGAGCAAGTGCGAGACAGAGAGACAGAGTGTGAGAGAGAGAGAGAGACAGAGTGCAAGAGAGAGAGAGAGAGCGAGAGAGGGAGAGTGTGCGAGAGAGGGAGAGTGTGCAAGAGAGAAAGTGCAAGAGAGCGAGTGTGTGAGAGAGAGACAGAGAGGGAGAGTGTGCAAGAGGGAGAGAGTGCAAGAGAGCGAGTGTGTGAGAGAGAGACAGAGAGGGAGAGTGTGCAAGAGAGAGAGAGTGAGAGAGAGAGACACAGTGAGGGTGAGCATGAGCACGAGAGTGAAAAGACTTGCCCAATGAGGAAATACTAATGTAATGACAAGGTTCACACATCAGTTAAACTGCTTGAGTTTTTGCGCTCATCATTTAGGATGTCACCCATGTCACCAATTAGATTTCCACTTATAGGGCATCTGTCGTCCTCTGCATAATTGTGATAGTTTCCAGGAGGGGCCTTCTTTGGCTCACGTTCAATTTTTTATTCATGACATCTATTCATACTGAATCAATGGTCAGCTATTAATACAAATTAAGATTTTGCACACCTGCTAAATTTAAGCAGACTTGCAGGAACAATTTTATTGTTGCAGTGTTTGCTTTCAGCAGTATTACTGTTCTTGAATAATTTACAATCCCGTGGGATTTTCACAAACATTGCGACCTTCATTTCCGAACTGAAATTTAACATCATCCATACAACATTGTTGAAAATTTGTGCCTCTGGATACAATCGAGGAAATTGATTTTGGAACGCTTAATAAGAGCAGGCAGCAACAATTGCTCTCGAAACACTCGTCCGCAGTTGTCTGAATGAACGCAGCTCACATAACTGTCAAGGATCTTGATGCTGTCCAGCACAAAGTAGCCCACTTTACTATTCGCCATCTTAAACGCTCACTCCCTTTGCCAGTGTAGCCGTGCTTACCATCTGAATGGTATGCACGGCCACAACATGCTGAGGCTCCTTCAGCAGAATCATCCAAATGCCCGACCTTAACTGTCTGGAAAAATATGGGTAGACAGATGCACAGGCAGACCACCATTTGCAAGCTCCCCTCCAAGCCGCTCACCATCCTGACTTGGAAATATATCGCCGCTCCTTCAGTGTCACTAGGTCAAAGTTCTGGAAGTCCCCCCCTAGGGGCACTGTGGGTCACCCTACACCGGGCGGATTGCAGCGGTTCAAGATGGCAATTCACTACCAATTCCGAAAGCCATTAAATTTCAGCAATTTGCCCAGGCAACAGTGTGCACACACCATCTAAGAATGAGACAGTAAATAATTGCAGACCTAAAGAAAACCTTACAATGTTCCTCATCTTGGCAACAGCAAAGCACATTTTTTGTATGCAAACTGATGTTAGAAATTACCTCCACAGGAGAGGTTTTGGTCCATTATATGGAAATGGAGCATCATGTGGGCAGAGGAACATGCAAGAGAGACAGTTCTGCTTGCTCAATACCAAATGTAGAAATGTCGACAAAATGCATCAATATTTTGAAAATTTTAAAATAATGAACTGTTTTGCTTTTCTGACTAGGTTTATGCTTCAACATTTTAAATTCTGAGGGAAACATTATCCATTTCATTTCTAACATCATCTGAGGGTTCGCCTACAGCAACCAACATTAACACAGAAAAGTAGAAAATAAGAGCAGGAGTAGGCCATTCGGCCCTTCGAGCCTGCACCATTCAATATGATCATGGCTGACCATGCAATCTCAGTATCCCATTCCCGCCATCTCCCCGTACCCATTGACCCCTTTAGCCGCAAGGGCCACGTCCAGCTCCCTCTTGAATATATCTGATGAAGTGGCCCAACAGCTTCCCGTGGAAGAGAATTCCACAGGTTTACAACTCTCTGAGTGAAGATATTCTTCCTCATCTCAGTCCTGAATGGTTTATCCATTATTCTTAGACTGTGACCCCTAGTTCTGCACTTCCCCAACATTGGGAACATTTTTCCCGCATCTAGTCTGTCCAGTCCCACCAGGATTTTATATGTTACTATGAGATCTCCCCTCATTCTTCTAAATTCCAGCGAGTACAAGCCCAGTCGTTCCGGTTTTTCCCCATATGTTCAACTTGCCATCCTGGGAATCAGTCTGGTGAACCTTTGCTGGACTCCCTCAATAGCAAGAACGTCCTTCCTCACACTAGGAGACCAAAACTGCACACAATACTCAAAATGCGGCCTCACAAAGCCCTGTGTACGAGACATTTTAAATAAAAGAAACCATTTACAACAGAGTTCTCAGAATAAATTTGGCATGAGCCAGAGTGAAGGCCAAAAGGATTGATGAAAAGCGTAGGTTTTAATAGTATCATAAAGGAAAGTAGACAGGTAGGCAGGAGGAGAGCCAGAGGTTCCAGTGGAGGGAGAGGGAGGGTGAATTCCAGAGTTTGCAGTCTAGGAAGCTGAAGGCACAGCCACCAACAGTGAAGCAATTAAAATCAGCATGTACATGAGGCCAGAGCTACAAAATGCAGAGATTTTGGAAGCTTGAAATGGTGAAGGTGATTGTAGGACAGGGCTGTGGTCGGGGGAAAGGGCGGTGGTCGGGGGACAGGGTGGTGGTCGGGGGACTGGGAGGTGCAAAGCCAGGGAATGATTTGAACACAGACCAATATTTTAGAATCAAAAGGTTCCAGAACAAATGGGAGCAAAATTTTGTCTGTAAAATAAAACCAAAGGCGTTTCTTTGTGGAAGGATCCTTACTCAGGAGCCCGCCCATCAGGAACCTCTAATCTGAAGTTCAGGTGGGAAGTGCACATTGCAACAACAATTACATTGTAAGGAAGTGTATTTTATTCACATCCCTCAAATGCCTCCTAACAGTGGTCACAGAATTTAACTAATTACAGACCCTGTTTGGGCAAACACCACTCCTATTTCTTCCACTGTAAATTCCAGAGACTGCAGCAGCGTAAAATCATTTGATCCATTTTCAGAGATGTTCACTGAAGAAACAGTCTTTTGCAAATAATGTCATACAGTCATGAGTTTCCATTTGATTCCCTGGAATATTTGATCAAATGGATAGCATATCCAGCGACATAGCACTCCCTCAGTGCTATATTAGATGCTTGCTAAGGTTTGACTGATATGGAGGTGCCAGTGTTGGACTGGGGTGGACAAGGTCAGAAGTCACACGACTCCAGGTTTAAAGTAGGTGACAAAGCAGCAATGCTCCGAAAGCTTGTGATTTCAAATAAACCTGTTGGACTATGACCTGGCGTTATGTGACTCTGACCCCCAGGCTAGAGCCCCCTGACCCCCTGGGCCAAGGGGACGCATAAATCCAACTACTGCTCCCCGAGATTGGGTAAGATTGTGTCAAATGACCAGTTGTTAAGTTAATACAGAATTCAAATGAATTAAGGCAGCTCAGTCTACAACCTACAGAAATTCACTGATCTCAAAGACTCAGTAAATTACAGAGCACGAAGCTTAAACTGACTTTAACATAAAGCTCCTCCTCAGGGTTTACCACCTACCTCTGGGATACGGACACTGTATGGTTGATTGTGGAAGACGGGTGCGTTGTCATTCACATCACCAACCTGAATATTGACAATGCCTTTAATCACCTGTAAATGATGAGTAAAAAAAAAATGTTGAGAAACTGGTCGACATTTCACTTAATTATAAATGAATCAAATGAATATTCGACAGTGATGGATTCCTCCACCTGACAAAAAAGTAACATCGCTTTTCAGCAAGCACCTAATAGCTTTTGCATCCATTAAGTTGTCATTTGAGACTCATACTCTATCCTATTTCCACCAAAAATAGAAAAGCATTGTGCAATGAACTTATCAATATGCATTACGCTAAGTGTGAAACAGCTTGATTAATTCATGCAGATCACTTGCTGTGAAACTAGCTATGATCTTGTATACCTAATCAGTACAAGTAACCACAATCAGCAACATCATATTTCGGGAACGCTGATAAATACAACTTCATTTCATTACTTCATTATAATATTTAAACTTGCACTGAGCAGAACCTTGCCAAAAGTGACTTCAATTGGTTTTTATTCAAAATATTCCAGAACAGGAATACAATCCCCTGCAATATTTAAGCCCCATCAATATTTAAACACCCCCATATCACCTGTATGAAAGCTGCTTTGTAGTTTTAAAGCAGAGATTCCAAACACTGTTACCAGGTTAAGAGATAAAAAACATGAGCGTATTTATTGACTGGTATTTGACACAAACATTGCTATCACATTTGCGAAAGCAAGTACATTTTTTCTGGAAGCAGCTTTGTTTGAACGTTCAGTTAGAAGGATTATTTTTAAGCTTATAAGAAGTCTATTCTCCAAATCTTACATCAATTGCACATTAGTGGCACTGACATTAATAGTCTCCATCTGTGTTGTCTCATCGTATGATTCATACTGACAACCAGGAGAAGCAACAGAAATGAAGGAAAATTCTCGAGGATATGTTTACATAATGATGTGAAGAACAGATGAAAATTCAAATCAAGAGAAGCAGCTCCACGAATCTCACGCCACTGGTCTGCATCACTCATCTAGAATTCAAGGAGTCCTAGAACTCAACAATTAAGCCAAAACAACGGACTACTGAGGTCAGAGACTTAGAATTCTGAAACAGATAACTCACCTCCTGACTTCCCAAAGCCTGTCCAGCATCTACAAGGCACAAGTCAGGAGGTGATGGAATACTCCCCACTTGCCTGGATGGGTGCAGCTCCAACAACACACAAGAAGCTCGACATCATCCAGGACAAAGCAGCCACCTGATTGGCACCACATCCACAAACATTCACTCCCTCCACTACTGTCGCTCAGAGGCAGTGCGTACCATCTGCAAGATGCACTGCAGCAACTTACGAAAGGTCCTTTGACAGCACCTTCCAAACAAGCGACCTCTGCCACTTGGAACCATGAGAACGTCACCACCAGCAACTTCTGTTTCAAACCCCACATTACCCTAACTGGGAAGGGTAGTTGCTGTTCCTTCAGTGTCAAACTCGTAGCGCTCATATGCAAAGAGCACTGCAAAGGTTCAAGGAGGCAGCTCATCACCCCTTTTTTCAAGGGGCAATTAGGGATGGGCAACAAATGCTAGCCCAGCCAAAATACCCACATTTCATGGAAAGGTTTGATGAACGCCTGGCGAACTGACATGTGGTGACGAGGTGCTGTGGTTGGCTGAAAAGGAACAATGTGAAAGGTTTTAAAAACCAAATGAACTGTGGATGTTGCAAAACAAGAAACAAAAACAGAAATTGCTGGAAAAGCTCAGCAGGTCTGGCAGCATCCCTGGAGAGTAATCACAGTTAATGTTTCAGGTCGCGTCACCCTTTCTCAGAACTTTACAGGCGACTCCACCCAAAACATTACCTCTGATTTCTCTCCACGGACGCTGCCAGAGCTGCTGAGCTTTTCCAGCAGTTTCTGCTTTAGTAACTTCAAGGTTTTGATGTTCAAGATCATGATAGCGGTGGACTTCTCCAGTTTTACAAGCCATGGCATTCATTGTCATACTTCCTAATTCATTGAGAAAGCAGGAAAACAGCTGATCAGACGGCAATAGCTTACATTTATAAAGCACCCTTAATACTGCAAGACAACCCAAGCCGTTTTGAAGGAGCACTAACAAATGTGATAGCAAGCCACGCAAGGGGATATTTTGATAGGCTTGGTCAAAGACATTGGTTTTAAGCAGCATCTTAAAAGATATTCAGAACTGTCCCTACAATAGGGTAAATTGAGGTAACAGCCCTGTGCTCATTGTGGGAACCCCTACTAGGACCATAGCCACCTGGGAGGGATCAAAAGCCATACAACAGACAGAAGTGATGGTCGTCACAGCAAAGTTAAACCTGCAAACTCAGAGATCTTCATTCCTGGAATGGAAGGAAAAGCTGGAAAGCCCGTTGTAGGGAGACTGCTGGGTTGGTGCATGCAGAGAGATTTAGGGAGGGAACTCCACTGTTTGGGGTTCAGGCGGCTGAGGACATGGACAATAGCAGTAAGCAAAGGTCAGAACTGGAGGTGTGTGGAGATCTCGGAAGGCTGGAGGAGAGGAAAGACAAGCAGTTGGATTAATGCATATTTGCACTGCACAAACTGTACGAAAGAAATGAAAGCATTCAAATGGCAAATGCATCAAAAATTGCACAAAGGTGAATGAAGAATGTCTTTATCACAATGCCATGGATTGGATGGTGTTCTGTGGTAAAGACACATGGTCTAATTTCACAGCACTGGAGGAACAAAAGGAGAGAAAAGGCACACGACAGGAAACTTATCAATAAATGAACTCTGTCCAAATGACCTTTTGGATTCAGTCAGAAGATACAAGATCTAAAGAAAAGTGTTAAAAGCAGAAAGGGATATTACAAAGGCTTGTGTGTTAATGGAATTCATATCTGTCTACATCAGGGAGCTGCCAGTGTGATATGTACGCTGTGAGCAAGCATGATGGTAAATTAATCAATAAAACTGACGTAGCACTGTAAAATGTGAAGAATGTGGAAATAGGTGACAGTTTGAAAACAAAATGTTTTGACATTATCTCTGCTTGAAAGAGTCTTAACAGCTACAGCAATTTTTGATGGACGGGATCCATATCTCAAACCATATCCACACATGAACAGCGAGTGCTGCAGAACGAAGATGGAACAGACCGGGATCCTGTACTCTGAGAAAGAGGAGCCTGATAGAGGTTATCAAAACTGTGGAGGGCTTTGATAAGGTGGAAGTGGACATTGCTTCCATTGCTGGAAGAATCCAGAACAAGGGAACCTGTTGGGATCAGGGTTTCCTCAAATACATTTTGCTTTGAAGTTCGCAGGCAATTTGCACAACCGCGTGGCCCCTATGAAATGTTTGGCATGGTAATTGGAAGAGGCCCTGGGTGGGAGATTTCAGGTTGTTTCATAAGCATGAAATACTCACTACAAACAAAAAATCCATTAAGAAATTTGCCTGGTGAATGTTGGAGAATGTGGAACTTGCAACATGGAAAAGTGAAGATGCCTTAAAGCAAAGGACGTGACATAAAACATGGAAAACCTGTACTGGCATTCCATAAATTCCATATGATCTTTCAAATGGAAAACTGCCAAAAAAACGCATTTGCAATTGCCTGGCAGTGAGGTGTACAGCACAGTTAAAGTCTGAAGTCGATACAATCTGCCAACACCACATTCCACTTGAAACGCTAACTCCATTTTTCACTCTGCAAGCGCTGCCAAGCTTGCTGAGCATTCCCAGCTCTACCCATTCTTATTTGAAGCTTCCTGTCTCTCCAATATTTTGCTTTGATTGTCCTGCAAAAGGATGGCATTTACAAGGGAAATGCCCTGACAACTGGATACAGACATAAGTCTATGTCAAATCATGGGTTTGAAACCAAGTCTGATACACAGCACACAGGGGCTGGGTTTTATGAAGGGTGAGTAGTTTTCATAAAATAAAAGGTAGGTTTATCAAAAAGAGTGCTGCACCCCTTTGTCAGCTCAAATTCTTGCACAGGAGAATAAGTTATTTGGTAACACTTCAATAAAAGTCTCCATATTAGGGAATCCTATACTTTGGAGTTGATAAACAAGGGTTCACTAAATTGGTCCTATGATGAAGTCAGAAGTCATACGACACCAGGTTACAGTCCAACGGGTTTATTTGAAATTACAAGCTTTCAGAGTGCTGTCCTTTTGTCAGGTGAAGTCAAACAAATCAAGCAAGTTTCCTAAGGCCATATCAATCCTCTGTTATTTTGCCTCCTAATAAAACAATCTTCCTGCTCTCCATTGTACAACTCATCATAGCCTTTCATAGGGCTAAACAGTAACTACACTCTTCAAATTGGACCTAAAATAGAAAGGGATCCTTTGTTCATGTTCACATCAGGTCAAGGAGTCCTGAGGAAGTCATATCGAACTTCAAATATTACCTCTGATTCTCTCTAAACCAATATTGCCAGACCTGCTGAGAATCTCCAGCCCTTTCTGTTCTATTTCTCTTTCGCATCCATAGTATTATGCTATTATTCAAGAAAGCCAAGTTGCTCAAATCTTTTGTTTCGAGAGAGCAAAATTGTTACTTACGCTTTGCTTGTCACTCACAGAGAACTCGACTTGCAGTTCTGAAATCTCCTGAAAAAGAAAGGATTCAAAAATGAAGATGCAGAGAAATTTAAATCACAGAGGCATACATGGTCATGGGTTTGTGGCTTTCACAGTAAACAAACAGAAATGAGAAATACAATCCCTAAATACCAACAACATTTTGAGCTGGTAGCTAGAGCAAATCATTTCCAGGTTGGGTTCTTGAGTCAAATTGAGAGAGGTTGCTCCCAAGAAGCACACAGACTGCATCATCATGGCTCATCATCACCTTCTCAACGACAACTAGCCACGAGCAGTAAGTGCTGGTCTCACAAATGACGCTGACGTCCCTTCTTCTTTATTTGTCCATGGGATGGTGGTGTCTCTGGATGGACCAGCACTAATTGCTCGTCCCTAATTGCCCTGGAGAACGTGGTGGTGAGCTGCCCTCTTGAACTACTACAGTCTATGTGCTGCAGGTAGACTTTCAATGCTGTAAGGGAGAGCGCTCCAGGATTTTGACTCAATTAGTAATTAATGGGTTAAGGAATTAATAAAAAAAACTTTCTGATCTAGAGACTGTGAGAAATAAACCAGTCAGGTGTAGTACAATAGCAAAACTATTAACAAAGATTGTGGAAGCATTGACATCACTTTATATCACAAATGTACAATGTAACAATAAAGTAAAAAAATTCGCAATTACAATACAGCATCAACCATTGCTAGATATCTATTCTTTTCTTAGCACTACAAGATACTCCCAATATCTTGTTATTAAGTATGATTTAGCCTGCCTCAGTTGTTACGAAGTTGTGTAGAGCATCCGTGAATTGGAATGGAGGAAGTTAGAATTTGTTGATAGGAATAAATGTGGGGAAAAGCAGTGCATGGTCCCTTTAAGAGATTGTGCTTTGTCTGTGCTTGGAAGTTTACAATTACTGTACAGACAGCCCCAAAATTGAAACAAGTTTATCAGAAGGTTTTACAATTGGCAGGCAAAACCGCAGTTTTGTTTTGGTATTGAGACAAGAAGTTTGAATTTAGCCAATCACTTTAAACCAAGCACCCAGGTACAGAAAACCAATAGAATTTAAAACTGATAGTTTTGACAACCTGAAACCAATCATATTATAAGAAATTGATGTGTCATCAGGGGGTACATAAGATGAGGGTTTTTGAAAATCAGAGTGAGAGCCAACTGTCATCTGAGGGGAAGGCAAGCCTGCTACCTGAGAAATAAGCCCCAAGCTCTCACAAGAAATCACTAAGCACTCTAAGAAAGCACATCTATCCGAAAAAGGTACCACAACACTTTAGCTCAAAGAAGAAATTACAGAGAAACGATCCCTGGCAGCAGAATCAGTGGAAGAAAGACGTTTTGGCATAACGGAGAAGGCAGAGCATTCTGGAAGGCACAATCTGTGCAAATTTGGAGAGATTAAGTTTTAATTTATTGTTGTCTTTTAATTGGGTTTATGCAAATGGGACTTGTGTTTATTTGAACAGCATTCCAGTAGAATTTAGGCCAGGTAGGGAGTATTTCGTAGTCTAGGGGGAATTGTTTAGTTTGTTAGTCAGTCTGTTAATTTGCTCACTGTTAGAGTTAAATAAATAGTTACTTATAAAGTGGAGATCAGGGATTTTCTTTCGTTTAACCACTCTTAACAGATTGTAAAGGCAAGGTGAGCTTCTCTGGGTGTTTCGGGTTTAATTATGAGAAGGGAACCTCTTTTCCCCACCAAAACAGATTGGGCTTGTGTTTCAGTTTATGTATCAGAGGGGTTCAACTTTCCCCTTCTCTGTAACACATTTCACATGTATCAAAACATTATTTTATGTTCACCACTTTTAGATTTTGAGAACTAGAAGCAGAGCTATGCCCCTTAACCCTACAGTGTCATGCAATAACATCATGGCTGATCTGACTGTGACTCCCTTCAGGTTCTTTCCCAGGAATTTGAGACAGTTTGGCAAGTCCTTTTCCAAATCTATTGACATGAACTTCTCTCAAAATTTGAGAGCTTCAAAGTTCTCAGTTCTAATAACCTGCCGATTTCTAAACAAGCTCTTCTGGTTTGGAAGTTTTACAAATTTAACTCTTCTGACTTTTGTTGGAACCTCTTCTTCCAAATCCTCCTTCTGAGAGAGAAGCAAAACTAGCTTCTAAATGCAACATTAGTATCTTCTGAATCTAAACAAAAACTCATCCTACGCACTTCGAAATAGAAAACAAAACCAAAGGCCTTACAAGTTTACTCTACCAGCTGAAAACCTAATAGTGTGAACATATTTCCATTTACACTACAGGAGTTCACAATCACTGCTCTGTGACAAAATATTGGATTTAAACCTTCTGACCTTGTTTAATTAAAACAAAATGCTTCCCAGAAGTAACCCACACCCGCTTGCATCTATCTTGAAATACAAATTTCAAAGATTATTCTTAAGTATTAATTATGCTGGTTTCATTACACTTTTCTACCCAAAGAAAAATGAAAATTGATCCTCAAGATATTTTTTAAATTGCTGCCAAAAAGTTATATTTAACAGTATGTTTAGGAATAATAATGTTTATATTAAACATAGAATAAGATTCAAGAGAATTACATAAGTCAATTACAATCACAGCATTCAGTTTTCTTCAGACACAAACTGTCCGTCTGCTATAATGTTATCTTTTCTAGTCACATGAATCATTTTCAAATTGCATGATTCAAGCTTCAAACTCCACTGAAACAACAATATGCTTTTGTCCCAAAATTGCTTCAAAGGACAACAAAAGAGTGCAAAAGGTCTGCATAAGTAACAGTTTATTTGGAGTTGTTAGATCCATAAAGTTCAAACTAATTTACAGCCAACACAGGAATCAATGTCTCTTTTGGTTCCATTCAATATTTTGTTGACAAGCATTCAATTTCTTAAAAAAAAACTTATATTCTGTTTGATCCCTATTCAATCACCCTGTAGTAAATATGTACTTATACTAAAGTTTACTGGCATTATCAGCCAGTTTCCTTGGCTTTCCATAATTCAATGATGCTAAAACTTGTACAGTTGTCAGCACAGCTTGCAAGCTGTCCTTAGATATCTTAATGCCCATTCCATTTTCAACCTTTTCTAAAGTAAGTTTGTCAAAGGAGACACTATAGTGCTAACATTCAGCACAAACTTCTGATAAAATCCATTCATATTGTGTTTTGTGTTAGGCATGGGACAATCCATGATAGTCTTTACTTTTGCTGCTAGAGGTTCCGCAATGTGACCCAAATAATTTTTTTTGTGGGCAATTTCATTTTCATCCCAGATTTATGAACAAATTGCCTCTTTGTAACTCATCAAGCCAGTTTAGTCAAGTAGTGTAAATGTCCTTACCAGGTTTGGCTGAACACAGTCAAGTTGCTGATATTGACGGAGTAATTACATCGTCCTTCAGTGAACTTTTTGGTTTAATTTGCTACAGTTGCTGGCGTATTTTTTTCATTCCAAATAGCATACTTGACATTTATAAAGTTCTTCCAATGTTAAAAAAACCTGGTATTTCCTTAGCTCCATCAGTCAATGAAATTTGCTAATTTTCTTTTAGCAAGTCAATTTTGGTGACTAACCATTCATGTCCAATTCTTTCAATGCAGTCCTCCAATCTTGGGAAATGATAAAAGTTTACTTTTGTTACCATGTTGACTTCACAATAATAGATATTAAATTGTACCCATTCGGTTTCAGCACATCATGATACGTGAACTCCAGCTCTGTGACTCAGTTCAATTATGTCATTGGCCATCATGAACTTCATCACTTCCTTCCCTTGAGCTAATATCCCTGGATTAAGCCTGTAAGGATGTTGTTTTACAGGTAACACATCCCCTGGACAGCCAACATGATACCGTTATTCAAGAAGGGAGTTAAGGACAACCTAAGAAACTATAGGCCAGTTAGTCTAACCTCAATGATGGGGAAAACTACTGGAAGCCACTCTGAGGGGCAGAACTAAATGCACTTGGAGAGGCAGGGATGAATCAAGAACAGGCAGTATGGTTTTGTTAAGGGGAAGCTATGTCTGATGAACTTGATCAAATTTGTCAAAGATGTGATCCGGTGTGTAGATGCTGGCAATGCATTTGCCATAGTCTACTTGGAGTTCAGCAAGGCTTTGATGGAGACTGATAGTGAAGGAAGAGCCCATAGAATCTAGGGCAAGTTGGCTGAATAGATCCAGAACTGGCTGAGTGGCAGGAAGCAAAGGATAATGACTGAGGCATGTCTTTGAGACAGGAAGCCTGTGTCCAGGGATGTCCTGTGTCCTCAGGGATCAATGTCGGGACCCTTGCTACTTGTGGTATATGAAACTTAGTCTCAAATATAGGAGGGTTGATTAGCAAGTTCACAGATGATAAAAGAATTTGTGGCCAGGCAAATAGTGAGGAGGATAGCCATAGATTATAGGACGATATGGACAAGATGGTCAGATGGGCTGATAGTGGCAAATGGAATTCAATTCAGATAATTGTGGATCATACTTGGTCAAGACTAATCAGGCAAGAGAATACATGATAAACATGATCAGAGGGATCTTGGTGTGGATGTCTACCAGTCCCTTAAGGTATCAGGACAGCTGGGTAGAAGATGAGAGTTATGAAGACAGATTTGAGAAGCTGGGGTTGCTTTCCATGGAAAAAAATAGGAGACTGAGAGGAAACATCATTGAGATGTACTAAATTATGAAGGGCATAGATAGCATTGACAGGAAGGAACTGTTCCCCTTGGTGGAAGAACTGATGACTAGGGGCATTGATATCAGTTAAGGTTCAGGAAGTTTTGAGGGGATGTGAGGAAACAATTTTTCACGCAGAGAGTGGTAGGAATTTAGAACTCACTGCCTGTAAGGGTGATAGAGGCAGAAACCCTCACAAATATCTAGATGTGTACTTGTGATGCCAATGCTTCCGAGGCGAAGTGCTGGAAAATGGGATTAAAGGGCCTTTTCTGCACTGAAGACTTCCATGACTCCATATCAATGAAAGCAAAACACTGTAGATGGTGAACCATTTACTCTGGCCTATTCACACCAATCAGTTTATAAGTTTAAAACAGCTTTTGTAAGTCACTTCGATAGTTTTCTGGAAGTTATAGCACACAACTAACATTTTAAGCACTTCCGTATTGCTAAATCTCACAACTGGAGGATCAACTTTTTAAAATTTTCAATTTCTGATTCATTTTCCAATTGTTCAGATTCTTTTACTTCACTCTATATTTCTTTCATTACCACAAACATCTCTTTATTACACTCACAGATTCTTTCTCCTGTCTGGAGGGAGTACAACGTAGGTTTACCAAGTATAATACCTGGACTTCATGGTTACATTAAGAGGAGGGATTATACAAACTAGGCCTGTTTTCGCTAGAATTTAAAGGATTAAGAGATGATCTGTTTGAAGTCTTCAAGAAATTAACAGGAAAAGGCAGGGTAGAGAAAGATAAACTATTTCGTGGTTGAGAATTCTAGAACTAGGGTGCACAGTCTGAGAATTAGGGCCTGACCATTCAGGGAGAGAAGTTAGGAGGCACTTCCAACCACAAAAGGTTGGGAGAGGTTTGTAACTCTCCTCCACAAATGGCAATGGATGCAGGATCAGTTGTTAATTTTAGCGCTGCAAGAAAATTCACTGAACAGGGAAGGTCAACTCTGCTTTCTCTCTCCACAGACCTGCTGAGTTTCTCCAGCAATTTCTGTTTTGGTTCTAGATCTTCAGCAAGCACCATTCTTTGTTTTGTTTTAGGACTTATAAAAAAAAAATCACTGTCAGGAGATAGTAGGAACTGCCGATGCTGGAGAATCTGAGATAACAAGGTGTAGAGCTGGATGAACACCTACGCTCGGTTCACAATAAACGACTGCACCTCCCAGTCGCGAACCACTTCAACTCCCCCTCCCACTCCTTGGACGACATGTCCATCCTGGGCCTCCTGCATTGCCACAATGATGCCACCCGAAGATTGCAGGAACAGCACCTCATATTTCGCTTGGGAACCCTGCAGCCCAATGGTATCAATGTGGATTTCACAAGCTTCAAAATCTCCCTTCCCCCGACCGATCCCAAAACCAGCCCAGCTCATCCCCACCTCCATAACCTGTCCATCCTTTCTCCCACCTCAACCCCCACCCCCACCTCCTACCTCCCAGCCTCATCCCCACCTCCTTGACCTGTCCGTCTTTCCTGGACTGACCAACTCCCCACCCTAACTCCCCACCTACACTCACCTTTACTGGCTCTACCCCCACCTCCTTGAGCTGTCCATCTCCTCTCCACCTATCTGATCCTTTATCCATCTTCTATCCGCCTCCCCCTCTCTCTCTATTTCAGAACCCCCTTCCCCTCCCCCATTTCTGAAGAAGGGTCCAGACCTGAAACGTCAGCCTTCCTGCTCCTCTGATGCTGCTTGGCCTGCTGTGTTCATCCAGCTCTGCACCTTGTTATCTCACTCTCAGGCCATGGGTTTTGCTAGCTGGACAAGCATTGATTATCCATCCCTAGTTGCCCTTGAGAAGATGGCGGTGAGCTGCCTTTTTGAACTGCTGTAGTCCTTGTGCTGTGGGTTCACACACAATGCCCTTAGGGAGGGAATTCCAGGATTTTAACCCAGCGACAATGAAGGAACGGCGATACATTTCCAAGTCAGGATGGTGAGCAACTTGGAGGGGAGCTTGCAAGTGGTGGTGTTCCCATGTATCTGCTGCCCTTGTCCTTCTAGATGGACGTTGTCATGGGCTTGGAAGGTCAATCTTTGGTGAATTTTTGCAGTGCATCTTGTAGATAGTACACACTGCTGTTACTGAGCGTCAGTAGTGAAGGGAATGGATGTTTATGGGTGCAGTACCAATCAAGTAAAATGTTTTGTCCCAGATAGTATTGAGCTTCTGGAATGTTGTTGGAACTGCATGTTATGCAGCTAAATGTTACTGTTTCCAGATAAATTCTAGATTTGGGTCAGATAGCTTTTCTTTCTAATTCTGCCTTCTGTTGCATATTTCCTCATTAGGAGCACCAGGATGATGGGGGTGGGGGAAGGGGGTGGTAGTGTAGGAGTAATTCACCATTTACAAAGGAGCATGTCGGAATATCAAGGATGTACGTGGAAGATCGTGGTTAGAAAAACAGTTGAACATTTTTTCTGGAGTGTAGGGAGTGTACTACTGCACATTGGAAATAAATTTCTCTACAATAGCATCACCGTAACATATAACTTTAGCATGGAAGTGTAAAACTACACCAGAAAATTACTGAACTTTAAAAACATTTTTACAAGATCGAACCTTACATAGACATTATTGGCCATTAGGAGACGCATGGTGAAAGTAACAATGTGAACCAAATACTATGTTAATCCACTGTAAAATAAGACTGAATTACCACAAGGCACTTGTGGGAGTCTATTACTGCCAATTAGTGGACATTTGTTTTCCTACAGATTTGATGACTATTACACGCCACAAATCATCAAGATCAAATTGGCAGTAATTTATTCCCAAAAGCTGAATATTGCTTAATTAATAGATTCTTTAGCCAAGATAAATCACTCCACCCTCTAATGGCCCATGCATTAAGATGCAAGGGCTGGTGTTATACTGTGCCTCCAGGCTTGCCAGAAGCAATTACATTACATTACCTCTCTATCCAAAGTCTGGCGAAGCCAGACAACTCCCGTCTCGCTTTCCACTGCAAAATACTTGCTGGCTTCTTCCCCGACAACTCCAAACACAAGAGTATCGTTGTCTGGATCCCGTGCCCACAATTTAGTAATGGAGGAACCTATGGATACAAGACAGGAAAATAGCTCATCATCAAGAGAAAAAAGGATAGTTACAGCTGATGACAATTGAACAAATTTAAGTATTATTTATAGCAGACGTGTGTTTGTGTGTGCGCGCGTGCGCACGTGTATGTGTATGTGTTCAAGCAGGCTCACTCAGATTTTTCTTAGACTTCATTCCTAGAGACCATTAGAAATGGGAACAGGAGTAGGCCATTCAGCCCCTCGAGCCTGCTCCAGAATTCAATAGGATCATGGCTGATTTGACACTCTTTACATCCACTTTCCTGCCCTTTCGCTATAACCCGCAATTCCCTGACTGATCAAGAACCTATTTATCTCAGCCTTAATTATACACAAGCACTCTGGTCCAACACAGCTCTCTGTGGCAAGGAGCTCCAAAGACTCTCAATCCTCTAAGAGAAGAAATTCCTCCCTATCTCAGTCTTAAATTGGTACCCCTTTATTATGAGACTATGCCCTCTGGTCCTAGACTCTCTCATGAGGGGAAACATCCTCTCAGCATTTACCCTGTCAAGCCTCTTAAGAATTCTACGTGTTTCAATGAGGTCAACTCTCATTCTTCTAAACTCCAGTCAGTCAGGTCCCAGCCTGTTTAGCCTTTGCTCATAGAACAATCCCTTGATCCAGGGATTTAAAGTGAGCCATTTCAAGCTATATCAAAACAAAGGCCAGGCAGATTAAATTGTACTCTGAAAAACGGAACATCGCAGCCAAAGTACAGGGTTGCACATGTCAGTGTTGACGAAAGTCATTACCAAAACCACCAGGACATCCCAACTGAGCACGTGCCACTCAGCTTAAGAGCCAACTGCAGAGCGAGGGCAAGTATCTCGGTCCATTACAAGCCGTGTCAGTGGTGTCTCAGCTACCCAGATGCTGCCAGGCAATCAGGTTCTTGCCAATCCATCCGTGCCCAATTGCCCCCAGATTAGGAAATTGGAAGACACCTCCCAAACCCCAAAAACCAGCGAGTAGGTCATTGTTGCCGCTCATCTCGCCTGCCAGCAAGACAGGCAATCTGGAAGCAGGTGAATTGATGTTGTTAAGTGGCTGTTAATTGACCACTTAAGGGCTTTAATTGGTATCAAGTTGAGAATTCCCCAAATTGACCTTCTTGCTTAGAACCTGACTGCTGAGCTGCTGCGAAGTTAGAGAGTTTCTCTCCGGGGTCAATTTGCCCAAATATTTCCTTTTCTCACCAGCTCCAGAGAGGGAGAATCACAACCAATTGTTACACAGGGGGCCCATATATTAGTATCCTTTGTTCTTTTGATCTCTCTCTCAAACAGTTGTAGTTTTGATACAGTGCATTGAACGAAGATCGAGAGACTATATAAAGGAATTTAAGATCATGAAAAGTTGGATAGAGTAGGTGTGGAGATGATGTTTCCACTTGAGGGTGGGACGCACAATCACGGGCTGTAAGTAGACGATATCTCCCAGAAACATAGAAAATAGGAGGAGGAGTAGGCCACTCAGTCCTTCAGACCTGCTCCACCGTTATAGTCATGGCTGATCAACCAACTCATTACCCTGTTCCCACTTTTTCCCCCATACCCTTTGATTCCTTTAGCCCTAAGGACTATATATAACTCCTTCTTGAAAGCAAATGTTTTGGCCTTCACAGCTTTCCGTAGTAGTGAATTCCACAGGCTCCCTGCTCTCTGGGTGAAGAAATCTCTCATCTCTGTCCTAAATGGCTTACTCCACAGTCTGAGACCATGCCCTCCGGTTCTGGACTCTCTGGTCATCGGAAACATCCTTCCTGCATTTACTCTGTGAAGATGTTAGCATTTTATAGGTTTCTGAGATTCTCCCCTCATTTTTCTCAACTCCAATGAACATAGTCCTAACAGATCCAATCTCTCTTCATGCGTCAAACCTGCTGTCCCAGGAATCAGTGCAAGCCCCATGGAGAGTAACCACGTCCACAGATGCCACATCTCCAATCGACTCACAGGGTGCTTCTGTACTTTATTGTTGCAGTTTGGGGAGTGTACCATTAACTCCCATCATAATGCTACAGCAAGGATATGTTGCACTCAGGGACAGGGACTCAGCTCATGGACTGGGCCAGGCTGCACCTCGGTGCAGCTCTTTTGCTTCCTCAGCGCTCATTCACTCTGCACCAAGCTGGATGCTCAGAGTGTCTCTGCCTTGCCTTTCAGCAGATCACCCCCTCAGCCAGAGTGAATACACACACAGTACCTCCGTCTCGACTTGCCTTTCAGTGCAGACACACAGTGGGGCAGCCTGTCCTGGGTGTGAGCATTCCTCAGTCACGGGGCTGGACATGTTTCCAGAATGTACTGTGCTATGTCAATCTCACCTCTGCACCATGTTTGGTACTGTAGACAGCGAGGGCATCGAGCAAATGTCCATGTCTCAAAGTCTAAGGGGAATAGTCCTCAGTCAATTCAAGGGAGACACTGTCGGTCAGTAATTCCCGGCGCAATAACTCAGTCCGGGAGTGTGGACATGGTGATTCTGCTAGTCTTGGCGATCAGGGTCCTCTCTTCCTGGCGTTGGTGGGACAGGGGCTGTTCATGCTGGCATATGTGGGGGAAAAGATGAGGTGTCCCGAGTGAGTGAACAGACAGCGTAAAGGGCATGTCGAATTAGCAGTGTGGGGAAAACTGAGCAGGTAAGTGCAATACTATGTTATCGTAAGGATATAATGCCATAGTGAGAGTGACAGAACATGAGGTTTGGTGGGGCATGGGTGCAGTAGCAAAGATAAAGTGAGTGTGAGGTAGCGGGGGGAAGGTGATGGCACTGATCTGGACAGATGGGGAGGGGGGCGTAAGATCAGTGTGGGTCCTGGGTAACTAATGAAGTGAGTTTGGGATAGCTCTCCATGAAACTCAATGAAAATAACACCTTGCTAAAATTTGGTGAGATTTAGCCCAGGAAATAAAAAACAATGAACATTCAGCAATGTGATTGAGGCCAGACTGGGAATGGTACAAGAAGCTTAGAACAGTCGTGGTTCAGGCAGGCTTCAGACAGGGTGACTGCATGAAAATAAAGATGAAAATTTTGAAAAACGACTTGGAATCAATGTAGACCAGTGAGTGGCGACCTTCTTTAAAAAAAATTCTCTTTCATATGATGTGGGAGATACTGACTGGGCCAACATTTATTGCCCATCCCTAGTTGCCCTTTAGAAAGTAGTGGTGAACTGCCTCCTTGAACTGCTGTAGTCCATCTGGGTGTAGGTGCACCAACTAAGCCATTAGGGTAGGAGTTCCAGGGTCTGACCCAGTGACTGAATAAATGTGTACCACAGGAGGTCCACAGGGAGCAAGTAAAGGCCACTCAGCATCTGTTGGAAATGTAGGCGCACCATTCTGCAAACCACATTGGGTTGAATTATGACTCCTGGTCAGTGTGCCTTGAAGACACATGCTTTTGACTGGAGGGCTTAAAGGTCTCTCACTTCATCTTACCTAGGATATTTGAAGCATGACACTCTATTGAGAGCACGCTCTTATGTTTTAAATGAACAATTTAATATTGGCCCAGATACCTATGTACCCAAAGAACAGAATGTTTGTACATGATAATGAGTTGTAATAATTATGTTAGATTCTTCAATACCACATCCATGCCTGGTTTCTTATGTTACAGGAGATAATGCAAGGATTAATGCGTCAGGTAAAATTCTACTGCCAGAAGCTAACTCTCACAACACTGCACTGCATTACCAGGTGACAAAAGATACACTAGAAAATCCACAAAGTAGTCACAAAGGCGACTTGTGCTGCAGTTTGGACTTGCACTCACTGTTATACAGGTAGGAATTTCATATTCACAAGCTTCTGGCCTAGCAGGCTACCCAAGCCTCACTGTGTTTTGGTCTTAGTCACAAGCTTCATAATTCTTCAAGTGCAAATTAAATTGTAGACATCACAGCAAAACAATCAGTTATTTTGGTTTTTATTTAAAAAACAAAATCAAATCTTACTTGTGAGCGGGTGGGGGAACTGCTGATGCATTGGAAGAGTTGTCAAACGTTAACTCAGAGGTTTAGCAACCCTTAATATCCCACAGGTTTGACTTGAGAAAACTTCACTTTGCAAAAATTTTCAACTGAAGATATGAAAAGAGAACAGCGACACAGACTGGATTGCAATCCACTGAGAACAAAGGCAGGAAATATTGACAAGATGCTTAATGGATTATTCAGTTAATTGCACAGCTTTAGTTAAATGAGAGACAAATGTAGCTTATAGCCTTTTAAATCTCAGATTCAAATTAGCTCTACTCCAGCGTGTTTTTATTTAACTGCATGTTCAGATGCCAGATTAACAGGCATCAAAACTTTTGGGCAGATTTAAATAAGATTTAAAAATAATTTTCAATTCCGACAAATCCTTCTCTTGTTGGGATGTTAACAGAAATCCTGAGTTTTAAAGTGCCAGTTAATGTCAGTTTTGACAATTCATTAAGTGCACAGTCTGCCCAGAATACTGCTTCCAGTTCATTTCAAAATGGTTAAAAGGAGAAGTCGAAGCTTTTTATATTGCACTCATCAGGACTAGGAGACAAAGAAAAAACAGAGGGCCTAGCGATTTATATAGCATGAGAAGCAGGTGCTGATTGGTTAACTGATCATTGGTATGAACGCTTAACAAGAACAGCTAACTGTCAATCGTCATCCGAGCAGGCAGGTGGGGTATTTGATTGGTCAGGGTGCTGCCATGGAAATGTAGCAGTGATTGGCAGTTTCTGTGACTCTTTCCTTACCTCCTCAATGAAAACAGTGTAACGCATACAAGAATTCCTTTGCCAACATAAAACAGGGTATCATGTGTAAATATATGTAGCTTCTATCACATGCATCATACTGATACTCTCCAATTGGTTTCCAGCGGAATCCTTAATTTTGGATTATTTAAAAAATGATTATCAACAGCAAATGTGTGTCAAGATGGGAGCAGCGGAATAGGCAGCATCCAGGCTCTCGAGCCCC